GAGTGGTACTAAGTTTCAAAACTGGCACAAATAGCTGAAGTGCCTAATTAATGTTTCAAAGCTGGACCTGGCTGCCAGGTTCTCCCAGCATCCCTCAGTCTCTACCTGTTACAGAGTATGGCTGGCACACTCCACCCTCTACCCTGAGCTCTCCAGCCCATGGGCTGGGCCGCTCTTTCCTCAGACATTGTGGTTACTCTTCCCTTTTGGGCCTCTGGCCCTCTGGCTGCTGCACCTACCACCCCTCTCCACCTGTCCGTCTGTCCCTCCCCCTTCCCCTCTCCCACATGGCCCAGTTCAGTCTGGTCATGTCTACTCTGGAATCTCTGAGATGTCCCTGCCTCTGTCTATATTCTCCCACGTGTCTACAAACCTTCACCATGCCTAGGATCGGTCATGTCCTTTCCTTTCCTTTTTTTTTAAAAAAAGATTTATTATGTTTTTTATATTTATACAGTGTTTTGCCTGCATGCATGCCTGCAGGCTATAGAGAAGGGCACCAGATCGTGTTACAGATGGTTGTGAGCCACCATGTGGTTGCTGGGAATTGAACTCCGGACCTTTGGAAGAGCAGCCAGTGCTCTTAACCTCTGAGCCATCTCTCCAGCCCCTGTTTTTTGTTTTTAAAATTGGTGTGTGTGTGTGTGTGTGTGTGTGTGTAGCTTTTTGAGACAGGATACCATCACTTTGTAACCCAGGCTGGCCCGGAACTCACCCTGAAGCCTTGGCTAGCCTTATTCTCAATTCTCCCACCCCAGCCTCCCAACACAGCCACTCAAATGTTTACTACCACAGCCTGCTCGTGATTGTCAACTTTTAGTGTAGCTTCTTTGTTATTTAAGACAAGGTCTCTATGTAGCCTCTGCTGGCCTGGAACTCACTATGTAGACCAGGCTGGCCTCAAACTCACAGAGATATGCCTGCCTCTTCCTCCCAAGTGCTGGTATTAAAAGTGTGCACCACCACCGCCTGGCTCATTAGAGTCTTTCATTGAACCTGAGTCTCACCATTTTGTCTAGTCTGGCTGGACATTGAACTTTCCATATCTACCTGTCTCTATTTTCCAGTTCTGGATTTAGAGGCACAGGCAGCCATGCCTGGCTCTTTATGTGGGTGCCAGGGATTTGAACTCAGGTCCTCATGCTTGCAGAACAAGTACTCTTACCCACTGAGCTATCTCCTCAGTCCTGTTGGGGCCTAAGTAAATCTCATATTTTGCAATGGGTTCTGTCTCTTAAGTCTCATAATCCATAGTTACTGCTTCTGTTTTGTTCTGTTTTGGTTTTTTTTTTTTTTTCATTTGTTAAATAAACTGGGAGGCTTATGCTGGAGACATCTGCATTCCCACAGTGATTCATATTTTCACTTGCTTTTGAGACAAAATCTCACGTAGTCCAAGCTGGCCTCAAACTCAGTGTGTATAAAGGATGACCTTGAACCTTTTTTTG